GCGTAGATGGATGAATAATATTCAGAAACTTTCACCTCGCGACAAATGGCCAAACACCCGAGAAAACCTTAATAAAGGAGACATAGTTTTGGTCGTTGATGAAAATGTTAAACGTGGAAAATGGAAGTTAGCAGAGATTATAAACACTTATTCCGGAGATGATAATTTAGTACGAATTGTGGATGTAAAATATTCAGATGGGAATGTATTGAAACGTCCAGTAACTAAACTAGTTTTATTGATGAAAAAGGAAGAAAGACTTGATTTGTGAAATTTTAAGTTTAAACGTGACTGAAAGATTTTCTAAAATGATGATTTCAAAGTTAAATTTTCATTATTATTTCGAACTTTATCGATATTCCTATCGAGTGATGTCCCCTGGGATGTCTTAGAATGAACATTAATTTATTGAAAATATTTTATTTTACCAATTTATAATTTTTCGTTTCGTTTTATTTTGGTGAAAAAAATTTGTAGATCAGTTGCCACAACAGTTGAGGCTGGATTCGCCACGATTGAAAAATAATATTTGATGTATGATGTTCAATACATTTTGAATAATCAGAAGTTTCAATGAATGACTTTTGTTTTTGATTATTTCTATTGTTTCAATGTGGACCTAGTAAGTTTTATTTAGTCTTAAATCGCATTTTATGACACAATCAGTTGAGCTCAGTTTTGAAACAAAAGTTTGTGACTAGAAAATGAGGTGCTCAGTTTCATGATTGACCTTCCTGAAACTTTCAACTCTCTGCAAAAAGTAGCAGTGGTGATTATTTCGATTTTCATCTCGTTAGTCGTGCGAATCGTTGTTTTTAGTAATAAACATCATAAAATCAAACATGAGAAACAATATGAATTACGACTTGAGTACAGCATGTGTAGGGTTGAAGGATACAAAATATTCTCCAGATATAAAACTTGTATCATCTGTCATATATTTACATTTAATATGTTCTTATAGTAAAATTACACTGAATGTAGTTCTATTGACAGTGTAGTAATAAATATTCTTTTTGATCAAATTAGTCATGAAACATCCAATGTACACACAAGGTAAATATCAAACTCAATTAAAGTGCTAAAAATAAAAGAATGTTTTTGTTTTTCAAATTGAAAATATTGGTACATCATTTGAATAAGGTAAGTCACCCCTACACCGTCCACCAGACCATCCCCTACACTAACACCGTCCATCAGACCGTCCCCTACACTGTAACACTTTCCATCAGACCATCCCCTACACTGTAACACCGTCCATTAGACCATCCCCTAACACCGTTCATCAGACCATCCACTACACTAACACCGTCCATCAGACCATCCCCCACACTGTACCGCCGTCCATCAGATCATCCCCTTCACTGTAACACCGTTCATCAGACCATCCCCTACACTAACACCGTCCATCAGACCGTCCCCTACACTGTAACACTTTCCATCAGACCATCCCCTACACTGTAACACCGTTCATCAGACCATCCGATACACTATAACGCCGTCCATCAGAACATCTCCTTCACTGTAACACCTTCCATCGGACCATCCCCTACACTGTAACACCTTCCACCAGACCATCCCCAACACTGTAACACCTTCCACCAGACCATCCCCTACACTGTAACACCGTCCATCAGACCATCTCCTGCACTGTAACACCGTCCATTAGACCATCTCCTACACTGTAACACCCTCCATCAGACCATCCCCCACACTGTAATACCGTTCATCAGCCCATCTCCTACGCTGTTACACCGTCCATCAGACCATCCCGATATTCATTATAGATTGAGGCAGTAGTTAAAATAATGCTTTGAGTCGAGCGTTCACACATCTGGGGCTAGAGACCCCTTTATATTAATCTGATTGTATTATTGCTTCTCTTCCTCAAGCTAAGTTAGATTTGTTTGAACAGAAATGGAATTTGTAGAAACTCCACAGCATTCGAAAAAATTCCCGTGTAGTGCAGTAGGAAATACTGCAGTAAGTTCTATTTACTTTTCTCCTTTTGCCAAATAGGACCTGCTTACTCTTGCAATTAACACAAACGATATCCACCTAGCAGGAAGCGTGCGCGTGGTCCTTGAAGACCACAATGAGCTCACGCGACCTTTTCTTTCCAGAGGATTTTACGGTGCCCAAACTTCTAACATTTGTAGCAGCGAAGAGGATTTGAAATATACAAATCCATATGAGACTCCTTGAGATGAAAGGTATTCTACCATTTCATCCTCGCTGCTGCCTTCAAGATCGTAACATCGAGTAACACCTTTACTTGAATTTAATGATCAGTGTGGAGACATCTTAATAGTAATGTCTGCAAAGGACGTTGATTGGAGGAGCATGGTAGCATGATGCCCCTTGGCACATTCTATCAATTACTTATTGATGTAATCCAGAGCGAATTTGTGTGTAATATCTGATTATTTCAAATCATTTGACTGTTCGATAAAATTGGTTTAAACTTTAACTATGTATATATTCAATATAATATGGTATAAATGTCCCGTGGTCTCAAATTGGTGTTTCATGGTGAAATAAAAGCTTAATTATTCCAGGTAAAGTCGATACATTCTGGTAGACATTTAATATTATTCGCGGGGGTAATATGATTTTTTTTAATAAGGTAAATCGTAGAAAGGTTTCAGCATTATAAAATGACCCGTGTAGACGATATTTGATAATATTAGTAAAATTGAATTGAGAAGATATCGTGTTATACTCACAGCCCATAATAAATAATAAATTAAAATTCAAAATTATACTCGGTATATTCGCCCAACACTGATCAGCAGTTCATATTGGCTTTGTCGCTACAATTACCGAGCGGGATGATATCAGCGAGGATTATTTAGTTCGTCGCAATACTAACTTGTTTCCTTATGTAAATTAATTTCTTGAACATTGTTTGGAAGTATTAACAAAATAATAAAGGTGTTTAAAGTATATCTGATGAAAGGTTGTTTCCTAGTTAGTATAAATAGGTAAATATATACAATAGAACGCGAATGGGTAATATGTACTAGATATACACCGCTATATTGTTTGGGAGGATTAACAACGTATTTCCTATTTAGTATAATGTTAAAAAGGACGTGATGACGTCATAGCGTTGATTTATCATCATTTCTGACTTGCAGGGGTCATGTTTCTATCTGTAATACGTTAACAACGGGGAAACTCAATTTTAAAGGAGTTATGCCACCCCAAAGGTACATTTGTGTTCATTTTGTATTGATGAAAATTAGGCCCTTTCCCCGGCCCGAAATTTAGAGAACTTTGGATTGTAGAGTATTATCCCACAAACCCAACGTTACCAAGAAACCATCTTCTGTTGCATTAATTTCTTGTACTAAATAAGCGTATGAAATGGCTCTTTGGGGGTCTGTTAACACTTTGCGGGTAGTAAATTGGTGTGAAGTTTTGTAAGTGTGGGGGGACATTATTAGGTACCAAAATCACGTGCTGCAACATTGGTCTTGATGATGATCACCTTATAGATTAGTAAAACATGAATTTCTACCAATGTGAATCGTTAACATAGTATATAGGATACCAACTTTGATCTAGATATTACTTATCTAGTAACAACAAGATCCCATAATAAAATCTTACTTTATACGATGATCTTGCATGTTCATTTGATCTCAAAGCACGTTACGAAATTCGATAATGAAAATGAATCCCATGATAAGAAAGGATCCTTTCAAAGAAATAAAATTAAGCATACTTAAGACGTATATTGAAAAATAGAGCAGATTGATTTCAAACACCACGTTTATTGTTCCCCAGATTACATTTTGGCGCTATTGTGTGTCGCACATGCAGCTCAGTGGTTCTGTTGGGGCAATAAGTTCTTCATCTGTGAACATACTTTCAAAGCATGTCAAGTGTCCATGACTATTTATCATATCACAACCTGCATAAGTATTTGCATTTAAATATCTCCTATTTTTTTTTTCGAAGAGTATATAAGGCAACAATGAAATCACCTTTGTTTACGAACTTGAAAGAACCTGGCAGTAAGATTTCTATTTAACAAACTCTAATCAGTATCAAATGATAAATACTAGTGAGCACCTCCATTTCTGTCACTCTTATTGCTTCCGTTCGTATACCAACACAATCCCTCGACCCCGAAAACATACAATTAGACATCAAACTTGACTATAGTTGAAAAAAATATATATTTTCCAGACCCAAAAAAGGCGCCATCTTGCAGTTTTCGACCATATTGTTGACAAACTAGGGTCCGGTTGGATTTTGATTACGATATTTCGATTTAGTGACAATTAAACCATAGGAATAGCCAACTCAAAAGTCTATATTAAATGATCTTATATTATGCACGCCATCTTTGGCGGCCATTTTTGAATTTGGCCTTCTAACAGTTTAAAGAGAGTCACCCAAGCCCAATCGCTTCATGGGATTATTTTTCATATAGAAACCACCTTCAAAACAACTTCCACGCACATTGTTAATTGTATTAAAAAAGAGAAATATGTTGAAATTGCTTAATTCTGGAGTTATCGTCGATTACAGAACAATGTAGTCACGATTGCCATTACTACCGTTGGTACGATGATAAACAACGTCTTGATTATCGATTAAAATAAGTGAAATTTTTAATCAATTAGAATCAAAGTTGCCGAGCTATAAAGTCTAGACCAATCAAATTGCTTATCAATGTATTTAATGATGTACTGAAAATATACACCACGTTTCACCACTCTGATTTAATTTGAAGCAATGTTACCTTGTACAAAAGCATAGACCACTCAACTAAACAGAAAATTTTTATCATTGAACTCATTCAAAACATTCACCTAATAAAGGACAGACAGACTGACAGACCGACAGAATAATATTAATAGCCGTCTGTGTTCTTCGAAAGTGGCGTCAAAGTCAGATTGTTTCATCCTCATAGCTATTTAACGGGGTTTCTCCGCTTAAAAAGAAAAACAACACTTTGTGAGATTTATAAATAAGTTCTGATTTATTAAGAGAATCTCAACATATTACAACATAAAGTTTACACATTTAAATAATATTTGATACAGAATAATTGTACAAATGTATAAACATTTGAAATGATATTTAGTAATTTTAACAACATCAAAAGATTTAAGGGCAAGGTAAAGTGACAAACATTGTCACAACACCTGAAATGGGGGGTCCTCAGAAAATCATTCAGAACACCTTTAGTGCCTTTATTTTGGTGTCTAAATGTGCTTGAGATGATACTGAACAATAAACAATTGATGTAAATAAAAAATAATGACTTTGGAATTTGTAACTTTGGAAAATATGAAGCAAATATACCATTCAGCACTGCACAGCTACAGGGTAAACAACTCAACATGGGAAATCACAAAGTCTCACAGAGATACCTGAATATATACACTACAACCATCAAGACTTCAAATGTTGAAAACTATCTTTGTTTTAGCACACCACGTCCATATAATTCAACTTTTTTTTCAAATATCCTCCATTTTTTTTCAACGGACTATACTTTCAGACTTTTGGTATGGAGTACCATCATAAACATCATTTGGATTAAATGTTTCGGGTCTGTATGGAAAATTGTAAATACTGTATCACAATTAAACATTGAACATTTTTACTGAATTTTAATGTAAAATAATTTGTTATAAATTTTATTCAATATTTATTCACACTCAACACATTGTTTAATCTTAGACTGTATACTAATAGTCCACTATTGAATGTGGAAAGGTCCAGCTGAGTGATTGATTGGAAAATATGATGTGTTTCAAATGGTACTCCATAGAAAGGAATTTGCCCCACAGAAATTATATCTACGTAAAAAATTCTATGTCAAACCCTCAAAATGATTATTATTCTAACATAAATGAATAATAATCTATTCAGAATTTAAAAACAAGTCTTTTTGCTAACATTTACCAACACTTGACAACGGCAGCCATGATAGCTTAGATTTTGACAGTTCAGTTTTCATGAATCTACAGAACGGTCGATATGAATAATGTTGATATTAAAAGATGTGACATGTCTTGCAAATGAAGCGCAATAGTCTATACTATTACGATTTACCACCTGATGTAAGGATAATTGTGATAGTATAAGTTAAAAAGTATTTACTGCATTTTTATTTACCTTTCTGTGTCGAATTACCGCTCAAAGGAAGTGTTGCTCGCATCAATGAGTTCATGCATGACTTATTTTTTTTTAATATTATCAAATCCCGTAAATGACACCTCATTTGTATTTAGGTATGAATTAATCGTATTCCGCAGTTGTTTAAATTAAAAAATTAAAAATTTGTATTTAAAATTAACACTTTGCTCATTGATTTTAGCATAAGGTCAAGGACATACCAGATATTTGGACACGCAAGCTACCTACGAAACATTGTTTACATTTATACAAAGGCAAAATGTGTTATTACTAAAGGGAATACGATATAAATGAAACCTTTGCATATCGATTCAATGTTCCGCTAAGCGTTGTCAGTTGAACGATTATTCGCATCACTCGTCTAAAGATATGATGGGTCATTTTCAAGATTGAAAAAGAAAATGGCGGATCCCAGCCCGTGGTAGCAAGGACGTGGAAATCGCACACTACAAGGAAATAGGAAAGCAACTCGAAAATTTAAGACTCGACTACTGTACTACATAGATCAGAGTATAAATATCGTTTTGTCTGTAGGTTTAACCGCGATTGGGCAAGAAAGTGATCAAACTGAAATTTTCGTACACCCGGATGTCTAAATGTCTAATTAATAATTTATATAACATTAGGTCTAAAGAAAGATCTGCAATAGACAGATTTAGCTCTTGAATAATGCCTGTTTAACATAATGAATATACACTTAAAATATTTATTCTGTACAGAAAAGTAGGACTTGAAACCCCATTTCATTTGTTAAATTACTTGAATGTATTTTGCTGAATCGTCAGCTACTGTGTCGTTGTCACATTTCCGTACCGTGTTGTTGCCTTGCCCTTGGTCTTTTGTGTTTACATGCACGTTAGCGATAGTGTCATACCAGTCATCTGTTATGATGTCATTCACATTTTCTCTTATATTGTCATTATGGCTTGTTGTGTTTTCATTATGGACAGTTGGTTGAGATTTCTTGATATTTCGTCTCATAAACCTGATAATTAAAATATTATTATTATTATTATTTTTTTTCATTGGTAATATCCTATTCACAGCAGTGTCTCTTTTGGAAGGCGGGGGGGGGGGGTCACACAATTTCCCTTAAATATAGTAATAGTACATCAAATGACGTCAAAAGGTAGACCATTTATATTGTATTTATGTACTCTTCAAAAAAAAGTAGGAGATATTCAGAAACAAAACAAAACTGCGGAAATGCACTGCTGTTTTATTAGAGGTAACCAGTGTATGTTAATAACAGACCAATTGCCTACACATGAACATCAACAGTTCATATGGTCGGCTTATCTGACGGCCCTATTTCACTCGCAAAGAGATACACCATCAAAAGTGAAAATGGACGCTTTTGATTTTTGTCTTAATAATGATTGATTGCTCCACCAATCCTCAGACATTCAGCAATTCGTCGTGGCATGCTCCTTATCAACTGTCCAATCACGATTTGGGGCAATCTGGCTCACACCTCTTGCAGTGCCACGGCCAATTCTCGCAGTGTTGTCGGTTGACGTTGACGTCCACGAACACGTCTCCCGGTCATATTAAACGTAACACACTAAAGCCAAGATACGCTTAATAGTAAATCTTATGAAAGAACCGATAGGAAAGCAAACATGGATAGGATAAACCAGCAAGCGGCAGTTTTCATCAACCCTTCCTAGAAGTGTCAAATTTGACAATGAACCCCTGCCACGTGTATGGCGCTATTGCATGTCGCACATGCAACTCAGTGGTTCTGTTGTGGCGTTAAGTTCTTCATCTGTGAACATACTCTCAAAGCATGTCAAGTGTCCATGACTATTTATCATATCACAACCTGCATCAATCTGATTAAAACACAGATCCTATTTCGTTTCGTTTTTATAGTTCAAAATTTCGTTTTACTTGTCTTTACTACACTAGGGTCTGGAAGAGTTGTCATCATTGACGTGTTCTGAATAGTGTGAGGTATTGGCCAATGAAACGGTCTGTTACGACGAGCTTTAGGCGTGTTTTGCACTGAACTGTGGGTAATCCACTAGTAACACTAATGCTGATTGGTTAATCCAATGTCTGACGTCATCGTCTCACTTGCCGCTCATACGACCTCTGACGTGACCTATCGCAACAACCGGTCAGATCTTTATGTAGTAGAGGCCATCGAAAGTATAAAAAACGAAACGAAATATAGATCTGTATTTTAATCAGATTGAACCTGCATTTCAATATCTCCTACTTTTTTTGAAGAGTATATTATATTGATGCTCTATCATTGTAGGGCCATAAATGTACTCGCAGTGGAAACTTTTGTAACTTGTTGATTGTCAGTTTAGTTTGCGTTTAATGCGCTCCCACCCCACCCTTACACTGTTATTACAATATTAAAGTTAATTTATAAATATAATGATATACATCTTACCATGTTAAAAAACATACAAGAAGGGTGGCTACCAAAACTGCACTTATACTCGCTGTTAGCATAATCTCATACTCTAGGCCGGCTGTAAAATAAATATACATACTGTTTATACTGATGTAAAACATGTGATTATTTACAACTATAGATTGATACTGATATATATAAGGATAGAGTCATAATCTTATAATGAAATCTCCTATTGTTCTGAGCCAATGATAAAATTACAAACCTGGACATTGTTCTAGTTGTTTGCATTCAAATGTCTCTCTAGAGTTACCAGTACAATACATTCCACCATTAGCTACTGCAGGATTATCACATCTCCTTGTCCTCATTCTCTTACCTCTACCACATGAAACAGAGCAGATACTGTATTCCGCCCATTTACCCCAACCACCATTTGCCACTGTAACAATACATGTAAGCTGTATTATTTACTACCATTACTCTAATATAGTGATAGTAACATCAAATATACCACACTCAACTACTCTAATATAGTGACAGTAACATCAAATATACCACACTCAACTACTCTAATATAGTGACAGTAACATCAAATATACCACATTCAACTACTCTAATATAGTGTTAGTAACATCAAATATACCACACTCAACTACTCTAATATAGTGTTAGTAACATCAAATATACCACACTCAACTACACTAATATAGTGATAGTAACATCAAATATACCACACCCAACCACTCTAATATAATCTTTAAGTATTACTGTATTAGCTTGATAACGTTGAGAGAATACTCTTCGAAACGTCGCCCAAATAAACAAGTAGCTGTTTTTCCATAAGTATGTGTTTTTTGTGTATCACTCTAATATAGTGATAGTAACATCAAATATACCACACGCAACTACACTAATATAGTGATAGTAACATCAAATATACCACACTCAACTACTCTAATATAGTGATAATAACATCAAATATACTACATTCAACTACTCTAATATAGTGTTAGTAACATCAAATATACCACACTCAACTACACTAATATAGTGATAGTAACATCAAATATACCACACTCAACTACACTAATATAGTGATAGTAACATCAAATATACCACACTCAACTACTCTAATATAGTGTTAGTAACATCAAATATACCACACTCAACTACACTAATATAGTGTTAGTAACATCAAATATACTACACTCAACTACTCTAATATAGTGTTAGTAACATCAAATATACCACACTCAACTACACTAATATAGTGATAGTAACATCAAATATACTACATTCAACTACTTTAATATAGTGATAGTAACATCAAAATGTACCACACACACACACAACTACATTGTAATTTCTAATTGGTTGTTTTGTTTGTTTTAGTTTGATTGTTTTTAAAACTGACTTTATTCTTAGATCGTCTATTCTTGCAATGCCCAATATAACCCACTAATATTAGTGTAATACTAGAATAATAGTAATTATATTTGACGTGTAGGTAAACATTTCATTGTGATAAATACATATATTCACCGGGTTTAGAACAATCACAAGACACGTCCACCACCACACGACCTACAATAAAGTAAAAAGGGACTAATAAAACTACAAATACGTCATCTAATTGTATTTTGTCAGCTTGTAAGCATAAACAAGGTAATTAAAACCGAAATTTATTACAAAATAATTACATAACATAAACAATTCTTCTATACGTTAATCTAAATAGCTAGACAGCTACCTCTTATAATATAAGAAAATTGTTTTAAATCGGCATGTAATATTACATGCAAAAATCCTACCGTCAAAATCTAAATATATAACATCAAGGGAGTCCGCGGTCATATTATTGAATTCTATCGTAGCTTTGCTGTAGAACTGGCCACTGTCGTCGTAGTTAGGGAGAAATACCCCATCATCGTTACATGTGTATATAGGTTTATCGTTAACTGTTACAGTGACTCTGTTACACGATTTACTACCAAGGTAGACGTACATCTTTAATAAACTAAACTCTCTAGCACTTGTTATATTACAAGAACATGTTAATCCTTTAACTGGTGATACTTTACCACTATAGTACAGAGTGAAAAAGCGACGTGATAATCTATCAGTAGTCATGATATTATTTATCTGAGACTCTGTAAAATATATTAAACATACAAATAACAACTATTATATTATTAATCATTGTTGTTTTTATATAACACAACATATCAAATCAAACATAAATAACATACCTTCTTCATCGTATTCATACCCTTATTTGCTTCTTTGTTTTCACTTTTGTTTTTGAGATGGATGGAACATGTGCCCTATATGTATTCAATATACCTCGATTCCATTGAATTCTGAAACGTTTCTTGATTGATTTTAGAACATTTAGGTTTAGATTACTTTTTTATACATTTCACCGATGTGATAACTTGTATAGTTGAATTTTACTACATATGCTTGCATTCGTATTTCGTGTAGCATATAGCAGATCATGACTCATGCTGGCATTACACAATGGTTTCTTTGGGTTGTATTCCTGATTGTTTTCAAATGTGAGTGAAGTCTGTGTCGCTACAGACCCGGGACTGTACAGCGCCGTGGACGCTTATCGTTAACCCCCGGATCCATTCACTTTTTTTTAATTGTTTGTCTGTTTGGGTTTTTCTGAGTATGATGTCTTGTCCGTGTATTTGTTTTTGTGTAAATTTTGTGTGGTGCAGTCCCCCTGCACTTACTATTTGAGTTTTTACTGTTAAACTTTGACGAATTGTTTATCGGTTGTGTTATTTGAATAAAACAGATACATCTTTATTTAGTTATTCATTTCATACTACGTTTTAATAAAACCAATATGGGAGAAATGTGAAACGATGGTGTTAATGGGATGTAATTTTTAAATTCATGGCAATGATTTAAAATATATGTACAGCTGTTATCATTAAAATATTTACCAGGCAAACAAAATTGATCCTTGTTTATGTACGGATATTATCATTAGAATACTTACTAGGTACACAAATAGAATCAAATTGTCCGTAATCATAACTAGTACCAGCAATATAAGGAAATGTAAAGTGACAGGATTGTTGATATGAACAGGCTTGGTAAACAGGTAAAGTATCCTTTAGACTTAAAGCATCTTTAACATCATCAGTATTACCACTGCTACAGCAGTGACTATCACAATCATTCTTATCTTGTAGTTGTCGACAGCCTGCCGATCTTGGTTTGGTATAGGCATGTATAGGCCAAAATATATCAATAAGGCGACCTCTAGGACAAGTTAGAGTATAATTAGAACATGGTGATCCAGGGGGTCGATAACAAAAATGTCTTGATACGACAACCATCACTAGAATACAAGAATTAGATTGTGATTTGAATGTGGAATATATTACCAACCATGTGAACAACATGATACCATTACCATAATAAAACAATCAGATAATATCTAGAATGGTAATACCACCACCATTACTATAATAAAACAATCAGAGAGTATGTCTAGAATAACACCAACATTACTATAATATAGCAATCAGAGAGTATGTCTAGAATAACATCACCATTACTATAATAAAACAATCAGAGGCAACCCACAAGCCAAAATCGTGATTTGTCGTACAATCATCGTTCCGAAACATGTTAATATCGAACGGAACTGAGATCGTTGGGATATCAACCGATAGAGTGTCCACAAACACAAAATGAACGGACGGAAAGGGGCGACGACATTATAATGTTCACATGAAAATATGGGCGTATAAAATTATACCGTAATTGTGATAGTGTATTGGTCTTTATATTAATATGATAATATAATAAATAACCAAAATACCTGAATGAAGGAATACAAAGACACTTAGATATGATTTCATTGTCATACACGCCATAATCTGAAACAGACAAACCGGTCAATTCTAACATGCTATAGATAGGTTAATTCCGGCAAAAATAATGGTGTAATCAAATATCTATAAAATAAACTTGCACTCGATCAAAACAACTTCAATCCACCTGTTGGTTTTATAGGAGTTGGGTCAATCTTATAAGAGGAGCTTTATGTGTTGAAATGAAATGAAATGGAGTTATATGGTACGTCAGCTGCACCCGGGCTATATGGTGTCAAACACATAGTGACTTTGACGAGACAAATTAAATCAATATCACATAAATATATTTATATACATAAATAAAAACAAGTATCACAGACAATGTTGTTAAAAATAAATACAAATAAATATAAGTCCTTTATGTATATAAATAATTAAAAACAAAAATACGGATATATATATACAATTAAAATTTGTAATAAAAGTTTGTCTCTTTTAAAAAGTTTAACAATTTTCCATACAGCTCCGGTTGAGCAAATAATTGATGTAGTGACTGGCAACGGTAATAGTTTGATCTTACATTCTTGAGATGATTGCACTCAATCAAAATGTGCTTAACTGTCAAAGGAAAATGACAGTGAACACATTCTGGTTGAGGCCCTCGCTTCAAAATGAAAATGTGAGTTAAATAAGGATGACCAATACGAGAGCGACACAAAACATTTTGATCCCTCCTTTTGGTACTATAGGGGTTTGGCCAGTCTCCTGTGAGAGATTTAATGTGATGAAGTTTATGTGTGTCTGCAAGATCCCAAGACCGTTGCCAGTGGTCATATATAAAAGAATTTATAGAAAATTTAAAATCATTGAAAGGTATTAAAAATTGAGATATGGGAAGATCTAAAGCAGACTTGTCAGCCAAATCTGCTTGATCATTTATGTGTTGAAGTTTGTTTGTGCGCACTATCCCAAGACCGTTGCAAGCACTAATGGATGTTCAAGTATTGAGGATTGCTTAAAGCGAGGACAGAGAAGGGGTAAAGATGACGTACTGTAGTATATTTGATGATTGTATGAACTCCAAGGCCTGCACAAATCAACATTGGATTACTCACGGTACCAATAAACCGTCGATTAAGCAATATCTCCCTGGTTTTACACATGCAGCTGGTTAAAACGATCGGACGATAGTTTGTAGGATTCGTAAGATCTGTACAACGTTTAGTGATAGGATATATGTAGCATTCATCATTATGGGACTGGCTGTAAATTAACCAGCTTTTTATCCTGCTGGTTTCTAGTGATCTGATCGAAGTTATTGGGGGAGGAATTGGATGATAAATAAAAAACAAATTTTGCTAACCAGATAATTTGTATCTGATTATGCACTACTTTTATTTTTAATCCACACGTGAGCCTAATCGAAGGATAACAGTAGTACGTTAAACCCCATTTCGAATCCTATCTCAGACTGAAATGGACGTGGCATGGGAATTGATCATTAGACGTTACCTTGCCAAAGAGATCTCTTTGCTGAACGTATTGTTCTACGGGTCTACGGGCCTTCGCCCGCTGCAATATTGTCTATGGAAGAGTGATTGATCAAAGCCGTCGTTCTATAGAATGTACATTGGACACAAAGGTACATTTGCTCAGTGAATAGCATTGAACTCAAAATTGGGATCTTACCTTGCACACGAGCTAAACCGACCAAAGCCGAATGATCAGAGTGGGCAAGTCTGACCTCTCGTCTTGGTGAACCATGGGCCAAAGTAATGTGTTGCAGAGACAGGGTTCACAAGCTAAATTCCCACTCAATTACTAGGATTACACTCTAGACCGACACGGATCTTAACGCACGCTAAACACCCCCCCCCCCCCTGCAGGGATCCATTTAATCTGTTGTTACTACACACAGGAGACAGGGAGGGTGTATTTTTAACTCCCCGTATTCACCAGGGGTGGCGCGACCTTTAAATGATGACGCAAACATGATCCTTTAAAGGTTAGTTCAAATAGATGACAAATAATACAATTACTGGTTGACGTAATCCAGGTGGAATAATTTTACATAGGCTAAACCCATCTCCACAAAATAGTCTTTAAAAATAAATTTCATTAAATTCTGTTGGATAATAGAATTAACATTTGCCAGGGATAATTTTTGACGGTTTACCGACAGGTTCTATAAGGATATCCACAGCGGCATCGCTGGTGAACCTATGTCCAATGTGGCACGCGAGATAATTTTGCGTCACACACCATGCACTTGAGATATTTATAGCTTTGGGCTCACTGGCTACACTTTGGCTATATTACAAACGGCGATATTTTAGATAGGCCTATTGACTGACTCTCAATCTAGCGAAACATGACTTGCAGAGACCTGGGTCGCAATCCAAATCCCGAATTAGTTACTAGAAGTACACACTCCACCAACACGGGTCACGAAGGTTATGTTCTTATCAGCCCCTACACACCCTAATTAATCACACATGGTCTCAGAAAGGGGAGTTCAAATAGACAACAAATAATCCAATTACTCGTTGATGTAAGTTGAATTGATAATGTATGTTTACGTGTATGTATAATTACCAAATATCATATACTCACCTGTACCACTAGGATTAGCTTTCAGTTCATACTCATCTATTTGATGTGTAGTATCTGATTATTAAAAATCATTTGACTGTTAAAACTCAAACTATGTATAAATTCAATATAATATAGTATAAATGTCACGTGGTATTAAATTGGTGTTTCATGATTCTAGGCGATGCTGATAGATTCTACTGGATATTTAATTTGATTTTCTAATTTAATCAAACAACAAAATAAAACGACCCATCATTTATTAATATTTATTTGAGACGATATCGTGGTAAAATTACGATCCATAATTAATAATAAAATAAAAGTCAAACGTAAGGGCAATGTACTGCAATGTGGCGGTCATCCGGTCACGTGAAGAAAGTCATAATCTAAAATTTAAGGGCAAGGTAAGGTGACACCATCTTAACCCACTCCCCTTTAAATCATAGTCCCACATCCGGTTGTCTTTTGTAGGAATAAACTATCGTAGTCTTAAAAACTAATATGAATAATATTAAGGGCAAGGTAAAGTGACACCATCTTGTTGCATAGTAGTCTCAACACCAACAAGGCTGAAGATATTATTTCCCAACACAGAATAGTGGCCCTTGGATACAAACGTCCAAAATAAACTCTATTACTCACAATACACTATTTCACTGTCAATACCCCTATAATTCGTACATTCGTGTGTTATCACGTACACGTAAATTTCAGTTTCATCACTTTCTTGCCCAATCGGGGTTACACCTACAGACAAAACGATAAAACTTGGGGACAGCTATTATCTCTCTATTTATACTCTGATCTATGCAGTACAGTAGTCGAGTCTTAGATTATCGAGTTGCTTTCCTATTTTCTTGTAGTGTGAGATTTCCACGTCTTGCTACCAGAGGGTTGGGATCCGAAATTTTCTTTTTCAGTCGTGAAAATGACCCATCATATCTTTAGACGAGTGATAATCGTTCAACTGACAACGCTTAGCGGAACATGGTATAGATATGCAAAGGTTTCATTTACATCACCATACATACAATTATGTTGTATTCCCTTTAGTAATAACACATTTCAGAATATCTTGTATATCCTTGACCCTATGCTTAATATCAATGAGCAAAGTGTTAATTTTAAATACAAATTTTTTAATTTAAACAACTGCGGAATACGATTAATTGATATCAAAATACAAATGAGATGTAATTTACGGGATTTGATTATATTGAAAAAATAAGTCATGCATGAACTCATTGATGCGAACAACACTTCCTTTGAGCGGTAATTCGTTACAGAAAGGTAAATAAAAATGCAGTAAATACGTTTTGATTTATACTATCACAATTATCCTTACATCAGGTGGTAAATCGTAATATTATAGACTTTTGCGTTTCATTTGCAAGAACTGTCACATCTTTTAATATCAACATTATTTATAAGGACCGTTCTGTACATCTAAGCTATCATTACTACCGTTGGTAAATGTTATCAAAAAGGCTTGTTTCTAAATTTTGGATAGATTATTATTCATTTATGTTAGATTAATAAAGATTTTGAGGGACTGATATAGAATCTGTTACCTAGATATAATTTTTGTGGGGCAAATTCATTTCTATGGAGTACCATTTGAAACACATCATATTTTCTAATCAATCATTCAGCTGGACCTTTCCACATTCAATAGTGGACTATTAGTGTACAATCTAAGATTAAACAATGTGTTGAGTGTGACTAAATATTGAATAAAATTTGTAAGAAATTATTTTACTGATATTAAGCACTGAAATAGAACAAAACATAATATGAGAAACAATGGGTAAGTCCGTCATAAGCCTTTGGTATAAAGTGTCCCACATCACGGTTTAACTTGGGCTTGATGCGTTTTATATTGATGGCCTCATGAAGTTTCCTGGTTTTCGTCTGGTGAGTATCTACAAAGGCGAGAATGCTAGCAGTCGAGGTAAAATTGTCTTTTCGGGGCGAGATTCGCGCATACTCACCCTGTTTCCTCGCGTTCTCCTGCTCTCGCACTGCACTCGCACCCTTGTCTTCTCGAACCCTCGATGCGAGAAGTCGAGATTATAATATGGCCATAATAAGTTTCCATATGTAGTGGTCAGTTGCGTAGGATTTGAACTTTCGAGGCGAGAAGTCGAGGGAGTAAGATAAATTTAGAGAAAACCAAGGATAGCAGAACAGAACTTTATTTACAACTCAGATCAAATACACGAGATATGAGTGATAGGTTATTTACATATTTACAAGATGGAGGGTTTTAATTTCTTAGTCAATGGACATAAATTTGTTAAGTATTATCTTTAAAAACATACATAATTTTATAATTATTGATTGTTTGCTTGAATTAAAAAGTTTATTATATTTAAAAGTATTAGGTCTTGTATATATTAATATCTGGATATATATTTTTCGCATTCTTTAATAAAATAAGTACAATTGAATAGCTAGTGATATTCATCGCCGACTGTATTTACTTCACGTAAAGGACAAATTCTTTGTTCAAAATCTACATTCATCCATCTCCCGACCTCAACAGGGAGTTTATGGTTACATGTTCTATATCTTATATATTTATACACTGAAAAAACACTTGTGTTGGATCTCAACACAAGTACTTGTGTTAAAACTAATCTACACAAGTTATGTGTTGTTTTGCATTGCATTAACACAAACTTGTGTCGATTTATAAAATCTTGTGTTTTTTTCATATCATTAACACAAGTAATGTGTACCTTCCAAGATTTGTTTTCTTTTTAAAAAAAAAACTCCATACAAAGTCTGAATTCGGGAGTCAAGTTTTAAGAAAAGTAATAAAGGGCTTAATTCACATCTCGAAAATCACATGCTGTTCTTCACTGGAAGGGTGTGAGTACCAATTAATCAGACAATTGCCAGACAGACTTGAATGTTAATTGATGTTAAGTTGTCTGTAAAGTTAAAATGTCTGTCTTTTTTATTGACCCAATAAACTGATAGATCAAATGAATATATAGTGTACATGTGATTTTCAGCACCCTGGTGTTATCGAAAATTGATTCAATGTACAATGAACAAAAAAAATGAGTAAAACTCTTAATAATGTAATTCGTTGATGTAATCGAAATTGGACAGTATTGGTTAACTGAAAAGTAACCAATCAAATTCAATTGATCATCCACGTGTATCTCATAATCGACTTATTGATATAATGGTTCTCCAAGTTATCTATACTTTTTGTCTGCGATATCACTTCGGTGGAAGCGGACGTAAAATACAACTAACTAAGAAGAAGTATCTATACTTTAGTCATTGCGACAAATTCTTTCTTTGATATTATATCAGCGACATTCAGTTAGATAGATGTAGTGAAGTTAGCATCAACAGGGTGCTTTAGCCGTGATATTTTAAAAAAAATTATAATGGTCACATAGAATACCAGACCGCAGGTTTGTAAATTTTTACAAAAAATAAAACCGTGTATTTAATTTAGCATGTATATATTGCTTCTATGTATATAATAATTCGTTTCGTTTAAAACAGTCAGATTTAGAACTGCTGCCACTGACTGCACCGGAAGTCTATTTATATAATGGCGCCACAAAGAAAATTTTTTTGATGTGTTCTAAAAGTGTTCCGCTAATTCAGCAATCTAATGAATCTGTCTTAATTTTTCTGAAATCGTGCTTAATTATTATTAGCTAATCGGCGCTACACCGTTGTTCAAATACTTATAATTGCAAGAAACCCCCGACTAGGACCAGCAGGTAAGAATCTGTCTTGATTTTATAGTAATACCCGGTTGCAATTATTGGCCGCCATCTTTGATTTTTATAGACGTTCGGGCAAAAGGATAAATGTATATCCAGACATGGACTATAGCTAGATACTAACTTTTGTGTTAGTTGTTTAGTTGAAATGTAATCTTATTTCTGTAAAAGAAAAAAACAACAACAAACAAATCAGCCTTTTTTTTATATCAATGTCATCAATGTGTAGGCCTAATATTAGACTTTCAATGATTCAGAAGTTTCTCTACAGTTTCGTTATTTTTTTTCCCAGTCATTGATGTTAGCATGTACTACACAAAGAAAAACAGGTAACAGAATTTCATTTCCTTTTAATATATTTTTTTAATAATGGCCAATAATTGTTATTGTATGTAACACGAAAAGTATTTATCTCTGTAGAGAGAGGGCGAGTAAATGGGGTTTAAAGTTCACTAAATTCACTTGACACAAACTATGCCATTCATTTCCTTGTATTAAATTGGTCGAATCAAGTAGGTCCATGCTATATATATGTCCTAGAATCAAGTAGGACAGGTAGTCTTCTTCCGCCCTTTTTCTGAACACTGTCTCATTCTATTGCCATCTGTGTATGTTGTGTTATATTAATTCTGCATAATTAACTCTAGTTAACCTAGTTAACTCTATAATAATAAATGAATTTAATATATAAATAAATAAATAAAATATAAATAAACCAATAATATATTTGTAGTTTAATATGTTTTATCTTATCATTACAGGCAAAGCATGAAGCCAAAGGAAATGTTTTTACCAAGGCATGTTCCTCAATAGCGGAGAGAGTTTTATCCAGTGTCGGTTCTGCAGAAGAACCCATTCATAGCAGACCACCCATTGCAGCACTTGTAAGGTCGCTATAAAGAACCCGACAGACTCTGCGACCAAAAGATCCCACTGACGTGTCGTCAAGCGTAAGTAATCATGCAATTAAATACCCATGTATATAAGAATTTATTAACATGTAATTAAATGTACAATTTTATTTATTTATTAACATGTACTTAAATGTACTTTTTTATTTATTTTTTGTTTTAGCTTGACGAAGATTTCATCGATCATAGTGCACCAGGATTTTATCAAAAAAGAGTAAAAGTTGGGGAAAGGCGCCATCACATTTTTTGTACTGATAGACAGATGCAATTACTCGCACGCGCAAAAACTTGGTATATGGATGCAACTTTTCGGGTGGTGAACAAGCCATGGTCTCAGCTGTTTTCCATACACGCCTTCATTAAGACTGGAGAGACCACCCGACAGTTACCATTGGTGTTTTGTGTAATGTCGGGTAAAAGCCAAGACGACTATTATAAGGTAAATAGCACTTAATAGTAAAAAAGGACTATTATTTGGGACCTTGAAATTGTCACAAATGGGTCGCACTAACAGCGACATTTGTTTCAGGCATATTTGTTTCATCGGTGACACGTCTGGTGTCATGTGAATGCAACGACAACAGCCTGGTTGATTGATTTGTTGATTGGAGTTCAGATGTCTACATTAAAATCGACCACTTTCAGGTTGCCGTATTCACTGCCAGGCAAGACCGACTTGAAATTTCTAGAAATTTTCCTGGGGGAGACAGGCCCCAACAAATCCCCCGACGGTGCGTTTCACGACTTTGGCGCAAGACGGTGACCTTGAAGAGACGTCGAAAACCATTTAATAGACATAGTAAAAGTCATATCTTACGAGATTATCGCTGGTCTTGTCAGAAAATGCTATTTTATATATGACCAGTTTGTGTTTGAAAAATTTAATTATTTATTCTCCCACCATTAAAGCACACTAATTACGAAATATCGCTCTCAGAAACTTCATGGTTTCTTTTGCAATTTGTTTGGGGTAAGACGTTATATAAATAATATCAATCTGTCTACCACACAAATTTAACAGATACAAATGCATGTTATTCCACAGGTAGACAGACAGGGCCTCCTTTGAAGGGACTCAGTGAAGGGAACGCGGTTGGTTTAGAGTTTGTCTGACCCCTTTGAATATTTGCGTCTCATCTCCAATGAAAACAATCATGTTGCTCTCATGCTGTTCTCAACCAGAATCAAACATATATCGTACCTGAGATTTGTTAGCATGTTCCACACAACCCAACATTTATCGGCACCGGGATTAAGGGTGTATATCTTTGTTTCTAACGCTTATTGGGAATACGCCACTGAAACTACAATAAAAACTTATTTACAAAAACATTCTAAAGAGGCAAAACTGACATATTTCAAGCTTTACTGTATTTAAAGATATAATTTAAATCAGCCGGCTGAAACCCCGTCTCCGCTATTTGTTCAGTCATTCTTTAGGTATAGTGCCAGTTTCCACCGACAATGATATTGCGAACAAGTGTCCAATCTATAAAAGCACACATTCCTACAAAATGTTTCTTTAGTCAAGTGAGGGTGTGGTGAGTAAATTCGTGGTAACGTGAATAGGCTAATGTGACATAGAACAAGGTCACATTGATGTTGACAAAAACGTAAGACGATATGAACATCAACTAAAAAGATATGTAATGTGATTCAGCTGCAAGGTGATATATGCATATATGCAGCATAGATAATTAAAACTTCTATTCAAGTAAAACCAACTGTATCTATTTATTTAAGTCTTACGTCGAGCTGAATACATTTTATGATTTATTTTCATCTATTGGTGGTTAACAGTGTGTAACTAAAAACTAAAATTGGATCTTATTATTGCCAATGATATAATGTACATGTAATAGCAAGTGTATATATATTTTTTGTTCAGTCTGTACACAGTAACATATCTGAGAACCATATTATTATCATTTCTGCCCAAGGCTCCCTGTGCCTTATAGTTAGCAGTGATACAAGGCAATTACCAATTTTCCATGTTCTTGGCCTGAAGAAATAAAATAATAAAAGTCAAGTTTTTATTATTATGCAAGTGGAAAAATACAATTATTCATAGTATGATTTGAATAAATACAACTGATTTGAAGTTGGAATTATTATTTGTCTAAGATGACTGGGCATTTACAAATTGAAATAGCTACTCTTCAATAAGAAAATACATGAATATTTTTCCCAATTCACCTGGATTTTATTGTAGGTCTTTGTACGTGAAATAGTTTTATTTAACGTCCGCTACCACCGAAGTGATATTGCAGAAAATTAACAAATTCGGGTTCCCTTTTAAAGGAAATTGACTGCACTATTGCTGGATTGTATTATATAGGTCATGTCAGTTATTTTCAAAATGGCGCCCAGAACACAAAACAAACATTGCAATTCAGGGCTGACTGGTGTCGAGGCTGTATCCTAAGAATGATTTTTTGAATATTTAATTACACAGAAACACAAGTATGCACATGCAGTTATGATATAATATTAAATTAGCTTACCTCAAATACCTCGAAATATACTGTTTGGTCAGTTTGTCCGCCCGCCATATTTCTATTAGTCACACATCCTTCGGCCAATTAAAATGGACGTATATTTTGTTTTAACCGAAACGAAAAATTTGCGTTATAAATAGTAAACGAGCTTGATTGACAGACCACTGCTAATGTTTTTTCGTGAAACGGTATAACTGCAATCAACACACGGCCGCCATTCTCGATGATTGACAACTCACATTTTTCCTCATCCACCAAAGAACCGTTAGGTTTCTTTGAACATACTGTAATAACATTGGGATTATCAGTTAATCAGCTTTAATTATCCCGCTTTGATCGTTGCCATTTCTTATATTTTCCACAAAAAAACTTTGCCTTGTACGCACTAATTTATCAATTGGTATTGCCATCTACGACAAGCATGTCAACGTGCAGCTCACGGATTATCGTTAACAATTTCTAGGGGCTTGTAAAAAAAAGATTGCATGTCGTGTAAATATTTATTTTGTTTTTTGTGTAGGTCATTTTCAAATAAATTCATCAGCATATTATTCGTTTTAAATAAATATAAAACTTTTATGAGAAACGATGATTATCAAAGAACCGTAAGTGCAACTAGTGTTTTATCGTTTGGTTGAGCCTTTTACTAACCACGTGTTTCATGTTAATAAATATTTTCTTTCGTGTTTTGTTTGAATTGGCCTATTTCTAATAAATTATCCCGAGTCCCAAACGTCGTTAACCCGAGTCCCAAACGACATATACCGGAGTCCCAAATGTCGTGGTCATATTTTTTTGAGTCCCAAATGACGCGAGTCCCAAATGACGTGAGTCCCAAATGACATGTAATCAACCTAGAGTTGTTGTTAGTGTTTGTCGGATAGATCCTTTATACTTACTGGCGCTAGGTAATTTCGAGGCTAATATTGTTCAATTTTATTTGAATGATTTGCTTGCGCGTACCGTAGGAGTGTATTAGAAACAGTGTTTGCGCAGGTTCGAGAACGGCTGAAGAACATGAAAACACTTTTATGAGTCTCGAACATGAGAGAACGGTATCCATGGTAACAAGATGAATTAAATTCATACAATCTGTTACGATAACTTGTTTAGTATTTACTTCGCTATTAAGCATAATTTTGATAAATTATGACACCGTTTTACTCCTTTTCAATTCTTTGGATGACGATTACATCACCTTTTGATACGCCCTCGTCCGTAGGTTTGTCCGTCGTCTACAGAACTGATTATTTTAAAATTGATATGTTGTTTATTTTAATGAGATAAATCCTATTTAATTTCAATAATTTCTGTTAGTTTCTTCTGGAGTTATGGCCCTTGTTTCACTTTGTGAAATTCATTTAAATCTTTTAAATTAGTGAAACGAAGACGTCTATTAAATTTCTGCGATTTCTGTGAATTATGTCTAGAGTTGTGGCCCTTGTTTCACTTTTTCGAACCTTGTGAACGCACGAACAACAAAATTATCATCCGATTTGTATGAAAATTGTATGCATTATTTAAATTAGTAAAACACAAAACAAAAAAATCTGTCAAATTTCAACAATTAAGGCCCTTGTTTCAGTTTGTAGAACCTTTGTAAACCCACAAACGACAAAAATTATAATCTTGTATGAAATTTTATTATAAATGCCCACATTACCTACAAAAGAATGAATATGCGACAATCCCTGTTGACTGCGCAAACGATTAAACTGCTGTGGGCATATGTTTCGTTGCCTGGCAACCTAACTTACTTCATGTTATACTGGCCACATACTACATCCAATTTTCGAACGGTATTAAACTTCTAAATTAATAAATGCACCCATGATGCTGTTTTCTCAGCAGTTATCGATGCGTCGACCTTTGTAAACCCACAAACGACGAAAATTATTATCTTGTATGAAATTTTCTTGTAAATGCCCACATTACCTACAAAAGAATGAATATGCGACAATCCCTGTTGACTGCGCAAACGATTAAACTGCTGTGGGCATATGTTTCGTTGCCTGGCAACCTAACTTACTTGATGTTATACTGGCCACATACTACATCCAATTTTCGAACGGTATTAAACTTTTAAATTAATAAATGCACCCATGATGCTGTTTTCTCAGCAGTTATCGATACGTCGACCATGTTTGTTCTCCCTCACACCAGCTATGAGGTAGTGTGGGATTTGAGAACGGGAATGCGTTCGTGAACGCATTCCAGACTGCTCAAGTCCGACAAGAACCCATTCTCCGTCCGTTCTCTGCACCGGAACACTGTTTCGAATACAGCCTAGGGGTATTTAGGAAAGGGAGGAAACCGGAGGACCCGGAGAAAACCCACAAGGCTGGACAGGCGACCCTATTCCTAGTCACATTCAAGTGGGGAATCACATAATAATGGCCTATTTCAAATAAGATATTTGCATATAAAGAAAGTAGGCTTACAGCCTCTTTCAAATGTGATATTTGCATATAAAGAAAGTACAAACTTAAATCGTCAGTGCTGGATAAACTAGCCAAAGGATTTGGCTGAATCAATTGGCGCTAAACTTCACCTAGTTTATCCACTGACATACGCCCGAATCAAACATGTTTGATATATTTGGCCGAATTGTATTTGAGTGGTGTGTCCGCTTCGCCGAAGCATTCGTCTGATTTTAGAATTCATTAGCCAATCACCACTCATTCATATCGAGTGGGTATCGCAAACTAGCAGTCGAACTGTGACACGGGTGCTACAGCCAACAAATTCCAACTACCATACTATCGGCTTAAATGCACGCCAATGGGACCTCAGGTTTTGTGTTCCATTGAAACGACTAGAAATGAAATGAAATGGGGTTTAACGTCCTACTGTTTTGCTTCGAACTGGGCTAATGAAGACAGGCATACACCACACAGTGTGCTATGAGGGAAATTTTGCCCGGACAGCGGCACTGCGGTGTATCGAATTCCAACTGTCAAGGGATCTTTTACGTGCACGCCAACGTGTACACGGGACCTCGTTTTTTCATTTCATCCGAATGACTAGACAGCTGTCCTTGTCAGGCCCTCCGTCCTGCATCACTGACAAGGGGGAACCACGCCGGGAAATCTGGGTGAACTTTCTCGGCCAATGCAGGGATCGAACACCCGACCTCCAGGCTAGCGAGCCAGCGTCTTACCCACTTAGCCACCATGACGACTAGGCATGGAATCCATGCTGAAAAATTCAAATGAGCTTTCTCGGTCAACACTGGGAGCGAACCCGCAACCTCCCGGGTACCAAGCCAGTGTCTTACACACTAAGCCACATGACTCTCTTCTAATTACTGTGACAGTCCAGTCACATGACAAACAAGGGTTATTAAAACAGATTTTCAAGGCTTGGGTAAGATCTTCGGGATTCAAATGGTTTTAGATATCACACAGTTTATATATGGTAAGGTATCTTAAACAGTTTATTACATGTCACATATTCATATTTTTCAGTTTCCATATTAGATGCCATAGCAAATCAAAGATCATATAATAAAATAAGTCAAAAAACCCAAATATGGAAAAAGAAAGAGCTGAAGAAATGGTGATTTGAGCACCTATGCTTTCTCATAGGTGTTTTTGGAGGGTGCGTGTTCAATTCTAATAGAAAAGATTGTTGTTATGGTATTTTAGAATCTCACCATAATGTGTTTGGCACAATATATCCCGGTTGGAGCTGTTGTGACATAAACCTCCATTTCATTTTATTGTTTTGAAATTTAAAATTCAGTTTAGTATAGTAAATTTGTACACGTACATGTATGTGCACAAACAGAATCTTACTTATGTCCAGATACATGTAGATATGACTGTCTCATCTGTGGGGGACCACGGTGGCCAAGTGGGTTAGACACTGGCTCGCATATTTTAAGGTCGCGGGTTTGCAGTAAGACATTGCAGTACGGAGGACTGGGCTAATGAAGTTGGGCATATGCCATACAGTGTGCTACGAGAGAAATTTTGCCGGGCACCGTGACCTTAAGGCCTTCTCTTGTATCAAATTCTAACTGCCAGGGGATCTTTTACATGCACACCAATGTGTACACGGGACCACGTTTTTTTGTTCAATCTGAATGACTAGACAGCTGTCCTTGTCAGGCCCTCCGTCCTGCATCACTAACAAGAGGAAACCACGCCGGAAAATCTGGGTGAACTTTCTCGGCCAATGCAGGGATCGAACACCCGACCTCCAGGCTAGCGAGCCAGCGTCTTACCCACTTAGCCACCATGACGACTAGACAGGGAATCCCTGCTGAAAAATCCAAATGAGCTTTCTCGGTCAACACTGGGAGCGAACCCGCAACCTCCCGGGTAGCAAGCCAGTGCCTTACACACTAAGCCACACGGCTCTCTTTTAATTACTTTGACTCTCCAGTCACATGACAAACAAGGGTTATTAAAACAGATTTTCACGGTTTAGGTAAGATCTTCGGGATTAAAATGGTTTTAGATATCACACAGTTTGTATATGGTAAGGTATCTTAAACAGTTAATTACATGTCACATATTCATATTTTTCAGTTTCCATATTAGATGCCATAGCAAATCAAAGATCATATAATAAAATAAGTCAAAAAACCCAAATATGGGAAAAGAAAGAGCTGAAGAAATGGTGATTTGAGCACCTATGATTTCTCATAGGTGTTTTTGGAGGGTGAGTGTTCAATTCTAATAGAAAAGATTGTTGTTGTGGTATTTTAGAATCTCACCATAATGTGTTTGGCATAATATATCCCGGTTGGAGCTGATGTGACATAAACCCCGATTTCATTTTAATATTTTGAAATTTAAAATTCAGTTTAGTATAGTAAAACTGTACACTTACATGTATGTGCACAGACAGAATCTTACTTATGTCCAGATACATGTAGATATGACTATCTCATCTGTGGGGACCCATGGTGACCAAGTGGGTTAGACACTGGTTTGCATATTTTAAGGTCGCGGGTTTGCAGTAAGACGATGCAGTACGGGGGCCTTACAATGACAGCTGTCTAGTCGTTCAGATTGAACAAAAAAACGTGGTCCCGTGTACACATTGGCGTGCATGTAAAAGAGCCCCTGGCAGTTAGAATTTGATACAAGAGTGGGCCTTAGGGTCACGGTACCCGGCAAAATTTCTCTCGTGGCACACTGTATGGCATATGCCCAACCTCATTAGCCCAGTCGAAGCTGAACAGTAGGACGCCAAACCCCATTTCATTTCATTTTTTTCATTTTGTCTCATCTGTGACAAAGCAAACCAACACATTACAATACAATTTAATTAAATTAAAACTTTCGTCTATTTAAATATTGAATCGATTTAAGTCAACTAAAACATAGTATGTTTTTTTTCTCAGTTAACTACATCAGAAAGATCAAGACAGTTGGAAATGGCTATCCATATTATGGAAACTTTTTCTCACAGAGCTTGATAATCAGGTAAAATGTAAGTAACATACATATTTGTATTTTTAATCATCAACTAGTTCTATACACTTGATTGGTAATCTAGTTATTCTTCTTGGGGCAATGCCTAGGACTCTCCTATTCAAGTCTTGGCATTCTTGATTTTTGACAATCACATCCATTGATTTTCTTCAAGTTGTGATAGACCCTATGTGTATTTTTACAGTAAATAGCAGTATAAAAATGGACAATATTTTACTTTTCAAATAGATTTTAATAGGTAATATCCAATTTGTTGTCGATGGAAATAAAATATAATAATCTGCCTGGGGATGTTACTGGACAAGACACAATAAGTGTTACCCAAAGATGAAACAAAATAGAGACTCAGTCTCGATGTGGCAAAATAAATTGTTTATTTAAACATTGTGAACCATAAATAGTAAGAAAGTATTCTTATTGCCTACTTTTTATTTTTTAGGCTGGAAGATTATTTGATGTATGATAACAACAAGAGATCCCAAGCATCAATTTATTTTATAATTCTGGAAAAGAATGCATTTGACCCAATTTTTGAATATTTTTTTTTGTTTTTACTGTTAAATATTCATCCCAAACACAATTAGATTTTAATTCTCTACAGAAATTTATGTATAATATAGAATGTAAAGTGACATATAAATCACTTAGAATTTGGTCGGAAATCATAAAGTATTTAATAGGCATAGTCTAGAAACCAAATGTAGATCAAATACACCCAGAATTACAAAAAACCTTGACCTACATTAAGGTGACTTTCCCTTGCTTATGAAATGAAATAGGGTTTAATATCCTACTTTTCTGTGTTATTATGGTGATTCTGCCCTACAACCTACTCTTATATCAAATATTTCATCCGTCAAGGGTTGTTTAAAGGGAACCTAGGAGGGCCGAATGGTTAACACACGCACATTGGATCAGAAGGGTCTGTCATTGAGTCAGATAATTCAATTGTCAAGGGTTCTTTAAAGTAAACGCAGTGGGGGTAGTTTCAATTCTGGGCTTATACCCAATTATCCCTTGCCATGTCCTACACTACTGACGTGTGGGAACTATGTCGGAAAATCCAGTTGAAATTTCTCGGCCAATGCACTCACTGAACCACAGTGGCTGCTCCTTGCTTTTGACTTGTGATTATTTATATATATTTTGTACATATTATTTAATGTTTGCGATTTTCTCTGATATTTTTTTATTTTTCAATCCTGTAATCTTGATGCTTTGCTCCTTTTATGTACAAAATATTCATTTTGTTTGAGGAAAAGGTTCTACATCATTTTATTACTCCTGCAAAATAGTGCATTTTTCTTTTGTTAGTTTTCTGTGTATGCTAGTTATTTCTAGATGCCTCACAAATCACTTGTAATATGACTTTGTAGCACTTTTCAGTTTTTGAAAGTATTTCAATTTAGTGCATAATTAATCTAATTAGGGCTTGGTTTGGATGTTATTAAATTTAGATATATTTGAATTATATATTTTTGGGGTATGGGGTAGGGATCTTTCTTTTCTCAGTTCTTGTTTTCGGGTAAAGAAAAAATTAAATAGCTATTTTGAATTTTGTGATGTGGGGGGGAGGGGGGCAAAGTATAACAAAATTTTTATTAGTATTAGAATTATATCTCTGTTTTTCTGTTAACATTTCAAATGATGTCTATTTAGTTTTGATTTGGTGGTGTTAATTTACTTTTTCCTATCATTTTATGAATAAATGATAATTTAACAAATAAAATTATTGTTACCTCATTTATCAAACTTTACAGGTTAAACAGAGCAAAAGGGGTGGGGGGCTGCATGGGAAAGATTGCTAAATTGAGGGAAAATAAAACACAAGTTTTTGTTGGTGGTTATACACAAGTTTTTATGAAACCACACAAGTTTCAGAAATTTCAACACAAGTTTCAGAAATTTCAACACAAGTTTCAGAAATTTCAACACAAGTTTCGACACAAGTATTGTGTAGATTTTCACACAAGTTTCAACACAAGTTTGTGTTGTTTGGTAAATTTTAACACAAGTCTTGTGTTGTTTCAACATTTAACACAAGTTTGTGTTGTTTCAACACAAGTTTGTGTTGTTAAATAGAGACACCTAACTTGTGTTGAAAACAACACAAGTTTTTTTTCAGTGTAATTATTCCGCAGTGAGATAAGATACGGTTCTAATTTAAATTCGGTCTTATAGATTCTATAGTTAACAGATTTATTCCATTTCTGGATATTTGACGACCAGGTTTGAATATACTGATCTTTTAGTCGTCGTAATAATTCATATTTCAGTTTAACTGGATTTCGCGTCTGTTGTGAGTTCCATACATAACTATATCCACATTCATGAAGGGTATTTTTGATAGTCATTAGCCATTTATTAGTATGATTTACATCATTTTTTAATAGAGACTTATATAATACCCGTAACAAAGAATATTTGCCAGTTTTACCACTTATCATTTTAATCTAAAAGCTAACCATTCTATGCTTAATATAAATATTTAAAGAATATCTCCCAGTTTCACCATATAACATATACAGAGGGGTACGTTTTTTTTACTTTCGATATATTTCTTAAAAACTGGTTATGGATAGTTTCTATGGGGGATAATTGCCCAAATCCCCATATTTCACAACCGTACAGTACAATCGGCAATATAGTATGATCAAAAAGTTTAAGTTGACAATATAATTATGTAGGTACTTGGTGCTGTAGGTTGCACGTTCTATGGCATAGAAAGCCATCCTAAATACAGAAAGCCTCTATCGTGTTCAGAAGCCAATTGTTGGCGGACCGACGGATGGGGTGACGACATAGTGTAGGCGTACGTGAAGAGGAAGAGTAATGGGGTTTAACGTCCACTCGAAACAAACTAGGTCATTTCGGTACTAACATATTGTTCAATTTATTTTAATAGTTCGCTTGCACATAATGGTTTGTAGCAGTGGAAGGAAACCGGAGGACCTGGAGAAAAAACAAAAGGTTGGACAGGCGACCCTACTCCTTGTCACGTACAACCGAGGAATCGAAACCACGCCAGTTGACTCAATGGTTCACCGCGCACGTGCTAACCATTCGATTTTGTTTACAAGCTAATGAATATCTGTTGGCGCATGACATATATCCTTCTCATACCAACTCGCAATATTTTCATACACTTTTGTTTCTTTCACCCACGATCCTGCCTTTGAACACAAATCACAAATCGCCTGTTTTTGTGAAATTTTCTCCATATCGGTAAAAGCAAACTCCGCGTGATTCACGTTATACTTCCATTTTCTCTCTAGAATTTCGGTATAGGCTGTTTCATTTTTATCCAAATATTTGAGATAAGTCGCCAATTCTTTCACTGAGTTAAAATCTTTTGTATCTATGTAATTTTTTTCGGGCGATAGTTTTGAATAATCTGCTCCGCCACGAACCACTGTCACCAGATCTTGGGCTTCGGAACGGTAGAATTTTTCGGTAGCATAATCTTTACAGAACGTATTCTCAAAAGCAAAATAGAATTTGTATGTTTTTTCAACTGTGTCGAAACAAGATTTGTGGGTTTTGGTGCTTTTCTTGCAAGTTAAATTCCCACATCGTCCATAAAAATCAACTGTGATGTATTTTCGTAATAAATTGATGAATAGTTCGCGCTTACTAGGTGTGCCACAATGGCTGGAGAAAATGACGGCCAGTTTTGTTTTTTGCTTCATAATAGCAGTCATATTTTTCTTCAAGGGTTTCACTCTTTTATTATAGCTGCCGTACGGAACAAACACATCTGAATCCATACGATACGACATAGTCCTGTTAAACTGGTTTCTCCACGATTCTCCTCGCCAAGATTTAGAGGCTGTAATTGGTGGAGATTCCATTTCATGAAACACCCAAATTTGATTCGGGTTGCTTTTCTTAAATGGCGGATTACGTGGTAAGGTGTCGCCATCAAATATCACAATGTCGCTAGCCCCAGCTGTGGTATAAGTGCAAGGCGTTGAACATTGAGATAGCCCTGTTTTCAAATTATTTAAATCTATTTGCTGGGGTATATTAAACCAATGGACTTTGAATAGTTTCTGTGTTTTAATCGTCGACACGTTTTTGTTTATCGTGTCCATTTTAGTAACTTCTAAAAACGTGTTAAATCTGAGTTCCAATTCCTTAACACGTGTTAAGGTTTTATTATCGTTGTGGTCGCCATCTTTTGATAAAGTTGTAAATTTAAACTGGAACCAATCGAAATGTACCAACCCTGCCAAGTGTACCAAAATGGCCACACTTATTAGAACAATGGTATATCTTTTTAAATTGGATTTAGATATCGCCTGAAATGAAATACAGAAAGCACAGTTAAAGCCCCTTCTCTCCATTAAGAATCAGATAATACAGCAGACGATTGGTTTGCCAATGTGAACCGATCCTGCATTTATATAGATATAACTTCTGCTTTCAGAAATATAAAAAATAGCTAAAAATCTAAACTCTACCTTACGATACATTGATGACATAACACCTATCAATGATAACGGCACTTTCAACAAGTATATAAGTGAAATATATCCCCGACTCCTAATTTAGTATTAATAAAGAAACTTCTGGCACAATAGCTGCATCTGTTATTGGCTTGGGTATCAATATAAATAACAGTAAATTTAATGTCCGTATTAAATTTGACTTTGGGGTAGTAAAATACCCACAAATTTATAGTAACATACCAGATGTTACTTTATATTTCGTTTCGGTTTTTATAGTTTAAAATTTAGATTTACGTGTCTTCACTACATTAGGATCTCAAAGTGTTATTATATAACCCATATTTTGGACATCTGTTACGGCGAGTTTTTTGGCGTGCCATGCACGGAACTGTGGGTAAACCACTAGAAACGTCAACGCTGATTGATTAATCAATGTCTGACGTCATAGGCTCAAAAGCCGCTATACGACCCCTGACGCGACCTTTCAGTAAAACTGGTCAGATCTTCATGTAGTGTAGGCCATCGAAATGATAAAAAAACGAAACGAAATATCGATGTGTATTTTAACCAGATTGGTGTTTTCTATTCACAGGCAATACGATTGTAAAACAAACATTATAGGTGGGTAGATATAACAATATGATAGGGGGGACCTAGAACAAACTGCAAGAGCTAAATCTGCCTATTGCAGGTCTTTCTTTAGGTCTGAAATGTTATATAAACTATTAATTAGACAGTAATTAACTTTAATCCAGACCATAATCAACTCTCGAAGTCATCGTCAGATCTGCTGCTCTACGCTCATTCATGGTTAAATCAAGAAATGGATAATCGAGACTATTTATTTTATTGTACCGACTTCAGTAATGATGATCGAGGCTAGGCCCACAATTCAATCGCTAAATTCTCGGTTGAGGATGGATCAATTTGACTGAAATTTTCAGCAAATTCCCTTTACATTATCTAGTTTTTAACTATTATAGTGAGAACTACCAGCTCTTTACCTAATGTATCTTTAACTATATTTCTTATTCTACTGTATGGAGAAAGTGTAATATACGTGTAAAACACTAATGTATGAAACATTGTAGACCATTTTCATTTTTATTTGTTCTAAATTATACCCCTGTGATTGGAAATATGCCATGCGAATAACAATTTCTCACCCATTAGAAGCATATTATCATATATGTATTCTTGGCTTACTCCAATTGTTTGTGATCAAAGAGACACGGGGAATATGGCCACGGCGACTGTCTTGATTATGGCATTTATAAGACAAATTCTAAATAGGACTTAAAAAATTAAAGCACCCTTAATAAGGTACAGCTAGAAGCTGCCAGGATTGTGACTGGACTAACTAAAACTTGTTCTCGTGAAGCGCTTTATTTTGCAACCGGATGGAATAAATTGTCAGACAGACGTACACAAAAGCGACTAACTATATTTTTTCAAATTAAAAATCAGAGAAACCCAGCATACTTATATGACATTCTAGAATATTATCAACAAACACCACAAAAATGCAATTTAAGAAACATTAGCGAATATAGATATCCTTATTGTAGAACAACATTACACCAAACTTCGTACTTCCCCACAACAATTCGAGATTGGGAATTATTAGAGGACCCCATAAAGCAATCAACCACTCTTAAATCCTTCAAATATCTATACAAACAAAAATTACGTTCCTTAATACATAAAGCGCCAATCTACTACTGTAAAGGTAATAGACATGAAAATAGTATTCACACTAGAATACGGCATAGGTGCAGTTCGTTGCAAAATGATTTGTATGAAATAAACGTTGTGAATGATCCCATATGTTCTTGTGGCAAATTTATAGAAAATGCCGAACACTATTTCCTGCAATGTCACTTATATGATGTAATTCGTGCTGAACTATTAAATACATTGTCAAGTTATTCTGTGATAAATATAGATATCCTATTGTGCGGCAATTCAGAATTGTCAATTGAGATGAATACAAACCTTTTCCTTGAAGTTCACAAATATATCAAACTTTCAAAACGATTTAAATAAAAGTTATTGTTAGTAGTTACATCTTAGAATAAATTATTAGCTTTAGCTTTTTTGGTGGATAACATTTTTTTTTTTTCCGCACCCCCACCCCCCATTTTTTTATTATTATTTTTTTTTATCATTTTATACATGCATCAGTTCATTTATATCCCATTTATTAAACTTTATTTTTCAATGTTTTAAATATAATTTTATATTCTCTTTATCACCTCTTCACTTATTTTATATAGAGCTTTGCGATATAATTCAGCTGACTTTACTTATATTACTTATAAATTATTTATTATTGTATATACTATTTCGCAATCTTGTTTGTATTAAATAATGTCTATCATTTCTATGTATGGAAAGGGCTTTTCTAAGTTTTTGAAACTTGTGCTCAATCCTTTTGATATTTGTCAATAAAATATGTTTAAACTAATAAGCTGTGCAAATTTGTCTCGATCATTTCATATAAGATATTATTATGTGGTTAAAGTAACGGTGCGTCATTTGTATTTTCTCGCTAAAATATCAAATTTCCCACAGCTTAATCCACGTTAAGTTAATTATTTAACATTTAATTGTTTTATATTATTATGGTAGAGGGGGAGGGGGGATTTAAGGAGTCGTTGAGGCGTTAACCTGCCGTGTAGATGGTAATTAAGGAATTAAGGGGGTTTAGGGTCAGGTCTGTCACTTTTGTCTTGCGGTCGTAGTTTCCATCCCTGGTGTGAGTGTATGAGGGTTGGAGATAGGGTCGCCTTCTCAACACTTTTCCTCCCACAGACTTGTTTGCGATATCACCCTCGGTGGAAGCGAATGTTTAACACCATGCACAACGACATAATATACATTCGGCCACTGTGTCGTCACTGGGGTTTGGGGAGATTCAATCTGTTTTACAGAGTATTACGAAAGTATCTCTGTAAAAGATCACTGCCTTCAACACATGACGTCATATCACGCGGCCTCAATCATTGGCTCAAATGCACGTGCATTGTTTACATAAAACGTTACTGATTCGAGTAGAATGGCGCCGTTTACTCATTTTAATAGTAAAATTTTACGCTAAAATAGGAAATAATTTTTACCTATTAAAATACTTCAAACGTCTTTATTCAATTTTCTAATACATAAAAAATATATTTTAGAGTTTAATTTGTCGGAAGAAAAAAGTTAATATTTGTTGCTCATTAAGTCGCATCATATCATCCTTATCAGTGATTATCGCGGCCTAGCGAATATTCACTGCGGATCAGTGGGGGGGGGATTAAGAGTGTTTTCGATATTTGAGAAAATCGGGGTTTTTTTAGGGGAGGTTTCAGTTTATTGTGAATGAATTTGAATTAAAATGCTGCAAGTGTATATAATAAACACTGGCAATAATTACATATTTCATTATGGTCATTTTATGTGCTATTTAAAGTACACGTATTACTATTGGAGTATTAGTTTATTCTCTAAATAAATAATATCATAATCAAACATTTTTCTATAATAAACAGAATCGTTACATTACCTTTTGATTCAAGTTTAACGTCATAAATTGTTCAATGTTAAAATGCCTTCCTTGGTAACTGATAGATCTTACTAAGCGAGACCGCTATAGTGCGAGACCGCATGTCAGTCAATTTGATTGACAGTTCGATATACGGCCTTGAAATTATGTATAGTAGTTGTATATTACTTTTCATAAGATAAGTGATATTTGAGTGCGTGTTTTACATATATTAAGATATTCGTCGCCTAATATCACATATAGAATCCAATCGGCCTCGCTATGCAGTAATTCTTTTTCTGGTATTTGAAATATTTTAAAGTATTTCTTTGAACTAATTTTGACAATGGGACTTATCTGTAAATATTTCAAAAACTAAATCGTGATTTTTAGAAATGGTGGGAAAATTGACGAAAAAGAAAACTGGTCATTTTATAATGAAAATCTTGAAGTTTTGACTCATTTAACTACCTAGGAGTATTGATGAATTTTGATGGTAAATTTATAAAAACGCAAAAGGAGTATTGTTGAATTTTGATGGTAAATTTATAAAAACGCAAAAAAAACAAAACGTATCTGACCAGGACAGAAAAGCACTATTTTCCGTTTTAAAAGTATGTAATGAAAACTATTTTAACCCCGTAACAAAATTGTCAGTTTTCGACACCTACGTGAGTAGTATTTTATGCTATGGGTCGGAAGTTTGGGGCTTTCATAAAGCTGAGGATGTTGAAAAGGTACATCTGAATTTTTGCAAAAGACTTCTTCAAACACGAAATAGTACTAGTACTGTTATGATATACTATGAATTGGGTAGATATCCACTTTCTATATTAAGAAAAATTCGAATATTCAAATATTGGTTAAATTTAATTAACACCGACAATATAATTCTTAGACGATGTTACAATGATATGTGCATAAACAATGATAACTGGATAGATAATGTTAAAAAATAATTATTTAGGCTTGGATTAGGAAATACTTGGAAAAATAATGGTCTTGAAAATCCTAAACGCACATTGTCTGTAATAAAACTTCGTTTAATTGACATCTTTAAACAAGAATGCCATGAAAAAATCATTGAATCATCAAAATGTCAAATATACAAATATATTGTAGATAAGTTTACACTCCAGATCTATCCAACTAAATCGATAAATAAGAAATGTATACGTGAAATAACAAGAATAAGACTTTCTAGCCACAATTTAGATATCGAGAAAGGCAGGTATGTTAAGGCAGTTATGAAAGACAGATTATGT